GGCAGTGCCTGAGTGACTGCGGTTCCGTGCCAGGCAGTGTCCAGCCGGGCGGGGAGCGGGCAGGCAGGCAGGCAGGCGGGGGCAGGGCTGATGCTGCTCGACTGCTGGGTGGGGGCGGGGAGGGCAGGCTGGCTGCCCATCGTCACAGCCGAGGGGCGTGCCCAGAAGCCACCAGTGACCACCCCTTCTGTCTCCACAGGCTGGACAATTTGCTCAACATGGCCTATGGAGTCAAGAGGTAATAGTGCCCCCGCCCTGCTGCCCCCAGCCCCTCTCCCTTCCTCGTTGGACTCTTGCCCTGATGGACCCCTCTCCCACTTCACCCCAGACTGCCTCTGTCTTGGAGTAGTGTGGCCATTAAGACATTTGGGGGCTCTTGAGCCTAGTACGTGCCTAGAAAGAGCTACTACAAAACTGGACCTGGGAGGTTTGTCTGGCCCTCTCTATCCCATTGAAAGGCAGACAGTGTTGCCCAGGTCACAGCTGTGCCCCACTGGCCCCACTGTTGCTCATCTTTACTGAGGGTCACAGAATGCCCCCTTCCACCTCGTAGTCAGGGATGAACCCTGAGGCCCCCACGATGTTATCCACGCCCCTGACTCTGTGACGGTCCCCATGTTAATAGCGTCAAGAGCTGTTGAGCATATGCTGAGTGCCAGGCGCTTGGCTTGGGGCTGGGGACACAACGTGGCCCAGCCAGAGTTGGTCCCTGATGGAGATGGAATGATTCTGAGCATGGTGCTTGGCACACAGTGCGCACGTGCTTAGTAAAAAGCAGCCGCTCTTATGAGATAGCTATGAATAGTGATCGGGCTATGAAGAGGGCAGGAGACGGGGTGATGGCGACCCAGCGGAGACATCACTCAGGAGACAGGAGCAGAGTGGAATTGGAGTTCCTGGCAACAGGGACGGCTTGTGCAAACAAATAATGCTAGAAGGGAGTGGACAGGGTGGGCTTCCACCTGGCAGGGTGGCCAGCGGGGCAGGTGGGGCAGCATTGCCAAGGGCGGGGTCAGGGCAGGAGTTGGGTAGGAAGAGGTGCCCAGGGGAGGGTGGTGGCCAGGGGTGGGGAAGGGGTCAGGGTCAACAGTGCTGAGGACCAGGCAGGGTCCAAGGTCATAGGGTCCGGGGTGGATCGGGGCTCAGGGCAGGCTCATGAGTGAGTACCTAACGTTCAGGGAGGGTCAGAGGTCAGGACAGGATGGAGATTGGAGGCTGGAGTCTCAGTGGCTCAGAATGTAGAGTTTAAAGTAGGGTCACAGAGGGAGGTCACAGGGCTGTGGCAGGGTCAGGACAATGCAGGGGTCACACACAAGGTCCCAAGATCACAGCACAGTCGGAGGTCATGACAGGGTCGGGGGCATGCCGGGGGTCAGGGCAGAGCCCGCGTGACCCCCAAAGTAGTCCCCTGTCGCTCATCGCCAGGTTCTCACCCATCGCCATTGACGGCATGAGCGGCCTGGCGGGCGTGGGCCTGTCGGGGGGCGCGGCGGGCGCAGGCTGGTGCATCTTCGTGTACAACCTGTCTCCGGAGGCTGATGAGAGTGTGCTGTGGCAGCTGTTTGGGCCCTTCGGGGCGGTCACCAATGTCAAGGTCATCCGTGACTTCACCACCAACAAGTGCAAGGGCTTCGGCTTCGTCACCATGACCAACTACGACGAGGCGGCCATGGCCATCGCCAGCCTCAACGGCTACCGCCTGGGCGAGCGCGTGCTGCAGGTGTCCTTCAAGACCAGCAAACAGCACAAGGCCTGAGCCACCGCCGCCCTCCCCACCCTCCCCGGGCAGCAGAGACAGAGAGAGAGAGAGAGAGAGAGAGAGAGGACGGGCCGAGAGAGACAGCGCAGCAGACCACGGACAGCACGAGGGCCCCGTGTCCCTGCGGAAGCCACAGGGTGAGCACTCGGTGGGAGGGTCTGCAGGGAGTGGGGGGTGCCTGGGGGTCCCCCACCCCATCCTTCTGCCTCCCCTCGCACCCCCCCTCAGGCTGGGCTGTTCACTCTCTCGTCTTGGTTTTGTTCATGGCGAAGGTTTTTTGTTTCCTTTTTCGGCTAAAACGAAAGCAGAGATGTGCCCCCAGCCACCTTCACCACCCTCCATGGATGGCCTGGGAGGGCACTGGGGGTGCCCTCCCAGGCCCCCTTGCCCAGGCCTCCCCAACACCTTGGTGAGCCTGAGGGGGTGGGAACAGGTTTAAAAATCCCCAAAAAAGCTAAATGTGAGAGGGATGTGGGCATCCCTGGCCCAGAGCCCCTGGGCGGAGTGTGAGGAGCAGGGGGAGGGGCTGGAAACAGAAACAAAATGAAAAAAAAAGGGGGGGGTGGGAGGGGAAGAAAAACTCTATTTTTGTAAAAAGGGAAAAAAGACCTCGTGGAGAATTTTTACTGGGGATTCTTGAACTTGAAAAAAAAAAAACCACAAAAAAAA